TTTACCTAAAATAAAAGCCTAAGTTATTCCTTATAACATTAGTTATCAGGTTGTGAAAGTCCCGTCAAAATCAGTCCAGCCGTTTCAGAGATTATTCGTAACAAAGAGACAGGCAGACAGACAAGAAAAAAATAAAAAAATATAAATGTTTTTCTTATTCATTTTCATATGTATTAAGTAAAAAGCTTTTATTTTGACTTTACACACAGATACTTTAATTTAATTTATCTGTATAGATAGTATTGAATATAAAAGTTTATATAATATAAAATATGAAAGTTTGTGTATCTGTATATTTTAATTCACGTTATAACGGCTGGACTGATTTGAATGAAATTTAGTACAAGATTATGAGCTGGAGTAACAGCTACTGTTAGGCATCTAGGAAAGTGCCCGAGCGAAGCCGGGGCAAGTCACAAGATAATAAAAATCACATCATTTTGGATATTTCAAAAGTATACAAACATACATACAAAGATAGTTTTTAATCTATACAATGTACATATATTAAAATTCTGAATCAAATCTGTACATTAAATATTTTTTGGAAAATCTTATTGAAATAGATTTATATATAGATTATATTATATATATTATATTATATATATAGATTATAATTTATATATAGATATATATAGATTAGATTAGAATTTTTGACTGTCTGTCTGTCTGTTACCGCATCACGAGAAAACCACTGGACAGATTTTGATGAAATTTGGTATGACGATAGCTGGTTATCCGCGTCATATAGGATACTTTTTACTGCGGGAAAATATCGCTGAGAAATCTATACTAAACGTTAAAACGTAAGTAGGGATGACCCCGAGCGGAGCGAGGGTGATTCGCTAGTATAGATATAAATACAGGTAAAGTAATTTGTTAATAATTATTTAATTATGTCGTTAGCTTTAATTACAATTAGTGGTTACTTGAAAGCGTTTCTTAATGAAAGTGTTTGTCAAATTGTTTTTACTCAGAGTATTGCGTTCGATTTCCGTGTAATGTTAATTCTACATATAAATATGCAAAGACAAAACAGTTCAGTACCTTTTTCTCCTCTGTTTGTCAAACGATTTTCTTATTTGTTTAGTAGCTAGCTATTCACGAGCTATTAGTGTTATCTATGCTAATAAAAATTAAAAAAAAAAAAATACCGACTTCCAGGCACTAAAATGTAAAAAATAACTAAACGGAGGTTTTCATTTAAAATAGATATTTTTGAAGTCTGTGCCAGCGGATGAAAAGCAAATCTAATATATTTCCATACGTAAAATATATATTTACCTATTAGATGTTCATATCTTAAAATATTGTAGGCTGGCACCGAATTTGAAAATATCTGATTAGGTATCTATTCTTAATGAAAACCTCCGTTTAGATATTTTTTACATTTTAATGCCTGGAAGTTGGTTTTTTTTGTTAAGTTTTTATTTTTCCATTTTTAGTGTAGACGTCATAAGCATGTAATTTGTAAGAAGAAAGTTTTTTTAATAAAATATTCGATTAAACAATTTATTTAAAAAATATATTTATTGTTGATTTTATAAAAAACCGCTCGACCGATTTCGATAAAATTTATATGGGACCACCAGTGGGAAGTATACTCTTTGAAACAAAAAGAAATTCCAAATCGATTCAGGCGTCTTGGAGGAATCGGTGAACATACATAATAAAAAAAAAGAAAAAAAACATTCCGACGAATTGACAACCTCCTTTTTGGAAGTCGATTAAAAAATAGATTTTTTTATATACATTAAAACAATCAAAGTAAAGAAGAATTTTTACTTACCGGATAATGCTTTTCTCTCAATACATTTAACACGATTTTAACTTCACTATATCGGTTTGATTGAACGTGTTTTGTACGAATATAACATTTTATAAAACAATTCGCGAGACTCAGCTATTTTAGTTCCTTATTTATATATGTATATGTAAATAAGTTTTGTGTCGATCTGTTTGTATTTATTTTACTTGAATGAAATTGTTTTGGTATATATGCCAAAGTATGTTTTTTTTTATTTTTTATTCGAGTTTCATAATAATCTGTCCTATATATTTTGAAGTGTGTAAAAACACAATTACAAAAAAAACTTTAAAAAGGTAGGATTCATACAAACTTTTAACCCCTATTTACCACCTTAGGGGATGAATTTCCAAAAATGCTAAAACACGTATTTATTTAATTGTATTGAAGAGCATCAATACCAAGTTTTAAGTAATTCTAACCATAAATATTTTTTGGGTTGTGCTTTCCCGTGGGAATGAATTAATGTCCCCCGGTAAAAAGTAGCCTATGTAAATCTCCAGCCCTCCAACTATCTCCACACAACAAAATCATGCCAATCTGTCACTCTGTTTCGACGTGAAAGAAGGACAAACAAACAAACACACTTTCATATTTATAATATTAGTCATTATCGTCATTATCATGGTTTTTTATATAAAAAAGTAGCAACAGTATACGTATTATTCGATAGTAGAAGATGTCTCGTAACTAACATATACACAATTGGTTAAATTTGCCTCACTTTGTGGTGATCCTACTTGCTGTGCCAGCGGTCGCGGGTTCGAATCTCGCTGGGGGCATTCATTTGTGTAATGAGCACGAATGTTTGTACTCCAATCATGGGTGTTTACATTTATATAATATGTATTTATTTAAACTTATATATGTGTAGTGTATCAACTATCTGGTATTCATAACACAGGCATCGTAGCTTACCATTGAACTAGATGGTGCTGTGTATTAATAACACAACATATTTATTTATTCATTTTATATTATTTTATATTTACATTATTTTATATACACAAAAAAGCTAAATCAAATAATAATCTAACAAAACCCCCTTTTTCGAAATCGGTTACATCAAATTAATTTAAATCAAAGAAAACAGTAAATAACAATTAGTATTATAATTTCTCTTACTTGGCAAGGTCCAAAACGAGCTTACAAAGCGAATTATAATTTCCATTCAATAAAAGACTTTATTGTTTAGAAAATATGTGTTATTTTTCTTTGATAAGTTTTAAGTGACATGTAAAATTGTCCGTGTTGATTGTACTTATATGTATGTCAATGTCAATAAATTGACCGTTTTCGTATAACTTTTTATATTTTGCGAAACCCAGTGTTATAGTGGGTTGAAAGTACTGATCTGGTAGTGGGTTCGAGTCCCGGGTCGGGCCAAGTTTAGTTATTGAGTTTCTGTGAAGAAATTCTCTGATAATAAGAGTTGGGAAGTTTGTGTTTGTTTAAGCAACTGTATATAATCCTATGTAATTAGTATAAAGCTGTTATTTTGACATTACACACAAACACTTCAATTTTATTTATATGTATAGATAGAAATTTTGAACTAAGTAATTCGTAATAGTTATATATTCCTCTAACTTTAATCTATAGTATTTTTTTACTAAGAAAAAATTCTTTTTGCGTAAGCTAGATACGTATTCCTTGCGTCTCCAGCATAGAGCATAGAGGCACGCAGCAAATTGAAATTATCATTTCCGCGTTTGTAATTATTTTAATTTATATGATATCTATCCATTATATAGAGTACTAGCAATGTCCGCGGCTCCGCCCGCGTTCAGATGACCAAAAACCAAATTCTTAGGTTTTACATCTATTAGTATACTCTTACAGTGCAGTTTTTGTATTTTTTCTTAGAAATTAGATATTTTCCCGCAGTAAAAAGTATCCTATATGTTGACCCGAATAACCAGCTATCATCATACCAAATTTCATCAAAATCTGTCCAGTGGTTTTCTCGTGATGCGTCAACAGACAGACAGACAGACACAGACAGACAAAAATTCTAAAAACTATGGATTTGGACTCTGTATCGATAATAATGTCTATTTCAATAAGATTTTCCAAAAAATATTTAATGTCCAGATTCGACTTAATTACAATTTCATTATATGTGTAGACCAGATTATGTCGTAATATTTTATACGAGACTAGCAGTACCCATCGACTCCCATCGACTGTGTTCCCGCTTGACTACAACATGGGGTTATTCAAGGGGCGGACCAATAAAGTCCTGAAAAGCCGGCAACGCATTAGTGGTGCCTCTGGTGCTACAAATGTTCATGGGCGGCGGTAATCTCTTAACATCAGGAGACCCGCCTGCTCGTTTGCTCGCTTATATTATAAAAAAAAACCCGCGGCTTCGCCCGCGTCTAAACTTCCAATCGCTAACAAAATTCAATCAACAAAATTGATTCAACTTGATAACGCGAGTGTCACAGGATAAATAGATATCATTAAAAAACAAAATGGCGGTTCTAAGGCGCCAATTTGTCATGAAAAAAATTTTTTGGTCCGAATCATTCAAGTGGGGTATCAAAATAACGGTTTTAGCGCGAGCGGATTCTGCTAGTTGTTAAATAAAACTAAAAAAGTCTAACTGACCAAAATTAATAATACTTTCTTAGATTTACGCGAATATTTGACACCTTAAATAAAACTATCTTTTCGGATTTTTTCGTGGATTTATTTGGATTTTTGGTTCCCGACGTTTTGAATGCTTTACAGCAATCATGGTCACGGGAGAGACTTACGTGTTAGATGTCTCGAAGATATAGTTGTTACAGACAGCCTACCCACAAATAACGAAATGAAAATTGCACCAAATACCTTACAATATTTTTTTATCTTTAAACATTTTTGTAATTTTAATATGGAGGGTGGAAGTAAGAAGGACCGTCTTGTATGGGGGATTAGTTGAAAAAGTGTCACTTGTAAACGTCGGGAACCAAAAACTATATAAATCCGCGAAAAAATCCGAAAAGATAGTCTTATTTAAAATTACCAAAATAAAAAAAATATTCACAAAAATAAAAAAAAAGCGTCACCGTTGTTCTCATATTTTTTGTTCGCTTTATTTTTATACAGTTGGGTTTTTTAATAATATATTTTTTTTTATTTTGAGGTTTTTTTTGTATTTCTATTATATTATGTTATAATATATCATTTTTTGGTAACCCACCAGGTCGGTTTCAAAGGGTACGGACTATCACCCGCCCAGCTCACAGCCTCAGGCAGTTTCTCCTTCACCGACGGCAACACGTACACAATCACGCACGGCTCAGTCATCATTGCGGCTATCACGTCGTGTACAAACACGTCCAACCCTAGCGTGATGTTGGGTGCTGGTAAGTGTTACCGTGATAATAACTTGCTAGTGATGTGAAAAACACACGCCATCCCATGCCATCCCATCGCATAAACATTTATAAATGCAAAAGTTTGGACGGATGTTTGTTATTCAATCACGCCAGAACGGCTGAATGGATCTGGTTTGGCACAGAGATAGATTATAGTCTGGAATAGCACATAGGTTACTTTTAAAACGGGAAAATGTACGGTTCCCGTGGGATAAATTTGTTTTGGTTTTTCACCTGGGACGAAACGCAGCGAAGCGAGAGTAAGTCGCTAGTTTATAAATAAATAGAAGACATAAACTTTCTCTCTGAACTCAGCGAGATTAGTCGCCGTGGCCGAATCGGTCAGAGAACAAAATTATCTAATACAGCACTGCCCGCGGCTCCGCCCGCGTTCAGATGACGAAAAACCAAATTCTTAGGTTTACATATTAGTACACTCTTACAATACAGTTTTTGTATTTTTTCTCAGAAATGAGATATTTTCCCGCGGTAAAAAGTATCCTATAGGTATGTGGACCCGGATAACCAGTTATCACCATACCAAATATCGTTAAAATCCCTCCAGTGGTTTTTTTGTGATGCGGTAACCGACAGACAGACAAAAATTCTAAAAACTATAGATTCGGCCTCTGTATGGATAATAATGACTATTTCAATAAGATTTTCCAAAAATATCTTATGTACAGATAAGCCAAATCTGTACATAAGATATTTTTGGAAAATCTAAGTTACAATTTTTTTATATATATAGATTATAAATGATATTTGCAGGTCTGTTAGCAAAGAAAGCGGTGGAGAACGGTCTCAGTGTACTTCCTTACATCAAAACTTCGCTCTCACCCGGCTCTGGCGTTGTGACTTATTACTTAAGAGTAAGTTCATATTTATCTATTTAAATTTAATATATTATAGTATTTATATGTATTGTATGTATATATTATTTATAATATGTATGTATTTAAAGTTAGATATGTGTAGTGTATCAACTATTTGGTATCCATAACACAGGCCTCGTAGCTTACCATGGAACTAGATGGTGCTGTGTGTTAATGTACCAACATATTTATTTATTTATATATCTGATATTTATTAATATACGCTTTTGAGCAATTGTAATGTATAGGACTCGTCAAAACGAACCAAACGGACCCGCACTTTATGGTGTAACTGGTAGCCATTGAAGAGTTCCACTATCAGCTCCTGCGTCCAGCATCAGATCAGTTATATATTAAATATTTTTACGTATTTTTGCTTGTATTATTATTTTTTTGTTAAACATAGCCGTTGTCGTATTGTTGTAGGCGGTGTCTAATCACAAAATTATGCAAGAATTTAGAAAAATAGAGATTGTACTGAAACACCACACAAATTTAGTTATAGTTTTCTTAAAATTTAAATGAACCAATATTACACACTAGCAGTACCCGTGGCTTTGCCCGCGTTCAAACTTCCGATCGCTACCAAATTTTACAGGATCATCCGCTTGGCTAATCTGGAGATGCATGAAAATTTCATAAAAATCGCTTCAGCCATTTTGGAGTTCATAGGGAACATTCACACAAACACACACATAGATTTTTATATATAAAGACGAGCGACATATCCTCGCCCTGCTCGGGTGCATCCGTAGGTACATTTTACTTTTTAGAGCGAACTCTTATTCATTTTTCTAAAAAAAAAGTAGCCTAAAGTTATTCCTTATAACATATCTATATATCATATATAGCTATCTGCCAATGAAAGTCCTGTCAAAATAGGTCGGGGAGATTAGCCGGAACAAACAAACAGACAAACGTTTTAAAAATCGTATTTTTCTTATAAGTGCCGTATATAATTTCATATGCATTAAATAACTGTTATTGTAACATTACACACAGACACTTCAATTTTATCTGTATAGATTAATTAATTATCACGTACCATAAAACCTTGTCTTATATCTTTACAGGAATCAGGAGTAGTACCGTATTTAGAAAAGTTAGGTTTCGACATAGTGGGCTATGGGTGTATGACGTGCATCGGTAACTCTGGACCTATAGATGACAATATTGCAAATACCATCGAAAAGGTGAGAATTTACGATTTTGTTTTAAGTAAAACTTCTTTAAAATTATGTAATTTTTGTATTTTAAATATTATGTACAGACGGAACCATCTTCTAGCTTTTATTTAATACTATCATAATAAAAGTACCGTATATAATTTCATATGCATTTAGTAAAATGCTGTTATTGTGAGAGTACAAACAGACACTTCAATTTTATTTATCTGTATAGACTAGCGACATACTCTTGCTTCGTTTGTGTGCGCCCCAAGATGCCTTCTGTATTTATAATCTATACTCTATACAAATATTATAAATGTGAAAATTTGTGAGTATGGATGTTTGTTACCCTCAGAACGGATGTAAGGATCTGGATGACATTTAGGCACTGAGATAGATTACAGTCTGGAATGAGACATTACTCTAAATTCAGCCGTTTCAATGTGAATGAGTGACAAACATACACACATATAAATTTTGTATTTAGATTTTTGTTTTTGTTTGTGGTTTTGCTTTTCAAGTTTTTCTATATACTGAAAAAAAATAAAATTGACCAAAGCTCGGATGCTCAGGTACTTTATTTAATACATCGATGTTATTCCAGAACGAGTTGGTGTGCTGTGGGGTGTTGTCAGGGAACAGGAATTTTGAGGGTAGGATTCACCCCAACACGAGGGCTAACTACCTCGCATCACCCCTCTTGGTCATAGCCTATGCTTTGGCCGGCACAGTCAATATTGATTTTGAGAAAGAGCCTTTAGGTGAGTGAAATGATTTATTGGTTTTGATGGTGTTTTTGAAATAAAATAGATGGGCTTTGAGGACGTTGGAGAAATTATTATATTACTAGCGACTCATCCTCGCTTCGTTCCGGTTAGGCTTCTGGATTGATTCCCCATACAAATTTTCATCCCCATTTTCACCCCCTTAATGCATGATTTCCACGATAAAAACTATCCTATGTCCTTTTCAGGGTCTCAAACTATCTTCTTGCCAAATTTCATCTAAATCGGTCCAGTAGTTTCTGAGCTTATTCAGTACAAACAGACAAAAAAATCTTGCCTCTTTATATTATTAGTATAGATAACCAGTTTTTTTAAACATGCTCAGTCCGGCCCGTACTTGGCTAGCGTGGTGGACTATAGTTTGATCCTTCTCGTATTAAAAATAAGCCCATTCCCAGCAGTGGGACGTTATAAAAGAATGGAGTGTTATTTTAATATGCACACAGCAGTGAGAGAAAGCTAGCACAGATAACATACATGTTAAAACATGCACAGATAATAAATATTCTAATAATTAAATGTTATTGTTTTCTTCCAGGTTCTTTTTTTTTAGTTTATTATTTGTACAATCTACTCAAAATTAGGAATAAATGGTTTATGATATTATAATAATTAATAAGTAACACATATTTTTTTATACTGTGGTAGCCTAGTTGTATCGCGCCGGCTTGTTTAACCGAGGAAGACGGGTTCAAATCCCGGGTCTCGAACCTCTGATATTCTCATGTGGGAATCATTTCTAACATGATTACCACTTGTCTTACGGTGAAGGAAAACACAGTGAGGAAACCTGCATGTCTGAGAGAACCTAGCAAGTTGTCTGCAGACATGCTCACCCAGCACTTGGCCAGCGTGGTGGACTATGTCCTGATCCTTATCGTATTGAAGGGAGGCCCACTCTCCAGCAGTGGCACGTTAAAAAGAGCAGAATTTTTCATATTGTTCTAATTCTGTCGACAGGTAAACGAGCAGATGGCACTCCCGTATATCTAAAAGAAATATGGCCCACTCGAGCTGAAATCCAAGAAGTAGAAAACAAATATGTCATCCCTGGGATGTTTAAAGAAGTAATTATATTAGCAGCATATTATTCGCACTAATTTCGGTCTTTTGGGTCTAGTGACTAACATATGTGGTATTCCGGAGGTACTGGGTTCGAGTCCCGGGTCGGGCTAAGTTTAGTTATTGAGTTTCTGTTAAAAAAGGTCGCGTCGCTCTTGTGCCTTAACTCTCATGTCTACTAATCTCATGTCTACTAATACTTGTACGTGTGTATGTCACTGAACTCCTAAACGACTGGACCGATTTTGATGAGATTTTTGTGTGTTTAAGTGGTTGACTTATAATTGTAACTCGAGCCGGTAGGTAGCGTTACAGTCGGGTTCTAGGATGTTATGTGAAAACTAATCAGAAGAAGTTGGCATTTTTTCCAAATATATATTTTTTTCACAGTCACGAATATTTTTTTTAAAATAAACTCAAGTTTTTTTTGTAGCTACATATATAATAGTTATCGAGATATTAAAAAAATAAAACTAAACACTGTAAAAAGTGTTTTTTTTTGTATATGTATACATATATAACTTTTGAAAAACATATGTTTTTTCCTTTGGTAGAAACTTTCGATACGTAAAATACATATTTACCTATTAGATATTCATATCTTAAAATATTGTAGGCTGGCACCGACTTCGAAAATATCTGATTAGGTATCTATTCTAAACGAAAACCTCCGTTTAGTTATTTTTTACTTTTAGTGCCTGTAAGTCGGTTTTTATTTTTTGTTAAAAAGTTTTTTATGATAAAACAAAACTTCCTACCAAGTTTCCTCGAAATTGAAAGCGATCGATTCCAACCATTTTTCGATTTGTCTTGGAATGACTTATGTACTCAAATCTTACTAATATTATAAATGTGAAAGTTTGTAAGGATGTATGGATATTTGTTACTCAATCACGCCAGAACGGCTGAACGGATTTGGATGTAAGACATAGAGATAGATTATAATCTCGAATGGCATGGCACATGGCTAATTTTTATCCCGGAAAAATGTACGGTTCCCGTGGGTTAAATTTGTTCTTGTCTAATGACGAACCTGAAACGAAGCGAGCGTGAGTCGCTAGTACTAAATATATTATTGAATGAAATGTATGATTTTTTTACAGGTTTATGCGAAAATAGAAGAAGGTTCGCCATCTTGGCAAGCGTTGGATGTGCCACAGGGGAAGTTGTATAGATGGGATCCGAACTCCACATATATTAAGAAACCACCATTCTTTGATGGAATGACTAAGGTTAGTTCATTGAATGAATAAATGAATGAAATTATCTTTTCGGATTATTTCTCGGATTTATTTAGATTTTTGGTTCCCGACTTTTCGAATGCTTACAGCAATCATGGTCACGGGAGAGACTGAGGTTATAGACGTCTCAAACACATACTTGTTACAGACAGTGCCTACCCATTATATTACAAAAATGATTTCAAAAATTCAATTTCAAATTCAATTCAAAAATGGCATATATGCCATTATATGTGTTGATTTTAACTCTAAACATTTTAAATATTTATTTATAAGTATAATATATAATATAGCAGTATTATTTATTTAATTTTAGCTGTTATTATTATAAATGTTAGTTGTTTTTAGATTAGATAAAAACTTTATTAATTAACTAGCGACTCATTTCGTCCCTAGCTTGCTTCCCAATACAAACTTTCATCCCCATTCTCACCCCCTTAAGAGATGATTTCCGGGATAAAAGGTATCCTATGTCCTTCCCAAGGTCTCAAACTATCTTCTTTCTAAATTTAATCTAAATCGGTTCAGTAGATTCAGAGATTACCCCCTACAATGTCACAAACTTACAAACAAACTTTACCTCTTTATAATATTAGTATAGATAATATTATCTAGTGTTGCTATTATTATAATATTAAACATATTACCACATAGAAAATTAAAAATATTAATAAATAAAATATTAACCAAAAATCAAAATAGATCCGCGAAATGATCCGAAAATATAGTTTTATTTAAAATGTCAAATATTCGCGTAAATCTAAAATAATAAAGTATTATGATTCAAAAGTACTCGTACAAGTTTATTTGAATAAATGTTTATTGCTTGATATTCCAGAGTCTTCCCGCTATTAAAAATATATCAGACGCCCGCTGCCTGCTGCTGCTGGGTGACTCCGTGACCACCGACCACATCTCTCCAGCTGGCTCCATCGCCAGGAACTCTCCAGCTGCCAGACTCCTGGCTTCCAGAGGGTGAGTGAGGATACTGCTATATATATGACTTGCTATGCTTGCTTCCTAATACAAACTTTCATCCCCATTCTCAACCCCTTATGGGATGATTTTCGGGATAAAAAGTATCCTATGTCCTTCCCAGGATCTTAAACTATCTTCTTATCTTTCATCTAAATCGGTTCAGTAGATCCAGAGGTTACCCCCTACAACCTCACAAACTCACAAACTTTACCTCTTTATAATATTAGTATAGACAACATGTTTGCCTCAGTTTGTAATGACCCTACTTACTGTGCCAGCGGTCGCGAGTTCGAGTCCCGCTGGGGGCATTCATTTGTGTGATGAGTACGAATGTTTGTACTTTAGTCATGGGTGTTTATATTTATAATATGTATAATAATAATTCGTTGGGACATTAACACACATTTATTCATTATTCTTAATCTTCGGTTTGTCTGAGGCTTCTTTCTGAACTGATAGTACTCATGACGATTAGTAAAAAAAATGTAAGAATTAAAAGCTGAAACAAATATCTTGAATCTTGAATTTTTCCAGTATAATAATATTTGTTTAAATAAATTGAGATTGGAATACAACAAGTGATAATTGGACACCCCCAGTCTCACCCCCCGGGAGTTCAACTCATACGGTTCTCGGCGTGGTAACGACGCGGTGATGTCCCGCGGTACCTTTGCCAACATCCGTCTCGTCAACCGCCTGGCACCAAACCCGGGACCCCGCACCACCCACCAGCCCAGTGGCGATGTGATGGACATATTCGATGCTGCTGATCGGTATGTAGTGGGGTTTTTGGATGTTTTCTTGAGGGATGAAATATTATAGAAAAACTAATCTGACAGTCGTCCGAATATGGTCTTCACAAAAAATCCTAGAACCCGATTTTGACCCAGTTGTGAATCCAAACTATATAGGGACACACACACGCAAGCACACACTAAAAATTTCATCAAAATCGGTCCAGCCGCTTAGGAGGAGCTCAGTGACATACACATGTGCAGAATAATTATATACATATATAAAGAATATAATATTTTTTTTAAAATAATGTGCAATAAAGTCAGTCTTCAGACTAATGAGTCTATATAAAAAAAATTTATATAACAAAAGAACGTTAATCATTTTATAACACTTACAATTTCTTTATAAATAATAAAAAATTTAAAAAGAAATATTTTAATATATAGTTTTTTAAGTAACTCGTTTTTAGAGTTCCGCACGCTAAGGGTGCCAACGGAACCCTATATAACCCTATATATACTAAGCCTCCGATGTCCATCCGTCTGTCCGTCTGTCAGAGGGCTGTATCTCATGAACCGTAATATGTAGAGTGTTGAAATTTTCACAGAGTGTTTCCATTGCCGCTACAACAAAAAAAAAAGAAAATTAAAGAAACATTTTTTTAACCTTCGTAATCGATCATCGACGTGAACATATAGAAATATTTGTAAATTATAATTTTACTTTAAAAAAGGCTTCTTCTTTCCGAACTGGTAGTAGACTCATGACGTTCAGCAAAAGTGTAATAATTTAATGCTGTATAAAATATTTTGATTTGATTTGATTTGACATACATAGAGTACTTAAAAGTCATATTAATAAAAAAGTACATGTACGTTGGTACGGGACCCTTCATATGCGAATTCGACTCGCACTTGACCAATTTTTTAATTTATTTCTCATCAGGTATGCAAAAGAAAATGTGCCTTTAATAGCAATCGTCGGTAAAGACTACGGTTCTGGTTCCAGCCGTGATTGGGCGGCGAAGGGACCTTTCTTGCTGGTGAGAAAATAAAATTATGAGAAAAACCCCTAATGGCTTTGTATAAGGGGTCTGTTACATATGGAATACATTTTTATTTGACCCAAATTGTATCAGAAATCATATTGTATCATTCAATTCAATCATTTTTTCAGAATTTTACTTAAGTAAAGAGAAATAGAATATTCCAAAGGCATCAAATATTTAATAAATAAATACGTTGGTACATTAACACATCACTATCTAGTTCCATGGTAAGCTACAGGGCCTGTGTTATGGATATTATAAATATAAACACCCGTGACTGGAGTATAAACATTCGTGCTCATCACACAAAAGAATGCCCCCAGCGAAACTCGAACCCGCGACCACTGGCACAGCACTACAAACTGAGCCAAACGTGTCGTCGTCGTGTAAGAAAATAAAATTATGAAAAAGCCCCCTAATTGCTTTGTATAAGGGGTCTTTTACATGGAATACATTTTTGTTTGACTCAAATTGTACCAGAACTGAAAGGAAAACTTTTAGTGAATTTATTTAATATTCTAAATATATATATATATATATATATATATATATATATATATATGTATATCTATTTAGAATATTAAAAAAATGAAATAAAATATTCCAAACGCATCATATATTTTATTATGTATTATTAGCACAATAATTAAGATTTCGTTATAAATTATGCCTTAAGTTTTTTTTTAAATATATAAGTTATTTTAATTATAATTTTATTGAACTTTAATAATAATAATTGTATTTAACATTTGATATAACGTGTATGTAAAAATATGCAAAACGGTCGGGACATATATTGCTCTTTTATATGAACAAAGATTATAATCCAAAGCTCAGCAAATGAACTTACCTCCAACATTTAACCAACTTTTAAATAAAAGGTTATACGTTGTATAATAATTTTTTGATTCAATTTAAAATTTCGAGTTCAATTAATACTTTCTTAGATATACGCGAATATTTGATATTTAAAGTTAAACATATCTTTTCTTATCTATATCAAATTAATATATTCTATCTATATCAAAATAAATCCGGCGAAATAACCTGAAAAGATAGTTTTATTTAAATTTCGAGTTCAATTAAAAAAAAAATCTTTCACCCCCCAGGGCATAAAAGCAGTGATAGCGGAATCCTTCGAGCGTATCCACCGCTCGAATCTAGTCGGTATGGGGATTATGCCCCTCCAATTCCTTTCCGGGGAGAGTGCAGAGAGTCTAGGCCTGAACGGTACCGAAGTGTACTCCGTACAGGTACCGGAGGATCTGGTGCCTGGTCAGAAGTTGACTGTGCAGGTGAGAACGCGGAGAGTTGGGTTTTCGTTGAACCAAAAAAGAAAACAAAAAAAATATTTTTGTGTTTGTATTTTATGTATGGTATATATATATGTATGTATATTATTTATATTTCGTGTTTATTTCAATCTGGTTATTATTATTATGGCTTTGGACAAATTATTGTTTTTTTTTTATTTTTTTTATATGTACAAAAGACATAATATTATGATTTATTAGAAAAATATGTGTATTTTTTATTTTATTACTTTTTTTGCGATTTAATGTGTGTAAAGTTTTTTGGCGACTTATAAGGATTTCTTAAAATTGATATAAATATTTTACAGTAATTCTCCACATACAAACACACATAGATACAAAAATATATTAGTAAATAGCAGAAACCGCGGCTTCGCTCGGGCTAAAACTCATCCCCTATTTTACCCCCTTATGGAACGAATTTGGAAAACTGCTGAAACACGTATTTATTTAACTGTTTTGAAGAGCATTAATACCAAGATTGTAATAGTTTTGATCATAAATATTTTTTTGGGTTGTATTTTAACGTGTTTTCTTGGGAAAGAAATAATCTTCTGCGGTATAAAGTAGTCTATGTCACTCTCCATCTGTCTTGATACAAAATCACGCCAATCCGTCTCTCTGTTTTGGCGTGAAAGAAAGACAAACAAACAAACACACTTTCACATTTATATTATTAGTATGCGTAAGGATGTATGTATGTATGTATATCAAAAAATATAACTCGTTTTAATGTTTCCAGGTGGACAACGGCAAATCATTCCAAGTGACGGTCCGTTTTGATACTGAAGTGGATCTTACATACTTTAGAAATGGCGGAATTTTAAATTATATGATTAGGAAGATGTTGTGATGTTTCTAGGTAGGTGTTTAGGGGATATTGCAGAGAAATTGTAGAATTTTTTGAATTGACTTTTTTTACATTTTTTTCGTTTTTTTTGTTAATATTTTTTTTAATATATTGTTTTCTTATTTGGTTGATAAATATATTATTATATCAATTATACTAAAATTTCGACTAAATATATGTTTTTTTTAATAATTGAGTCAATATTTTTATGAAATTTAACAAAGTTATGGCAATTTTTCATTTAATAAAATGTCTTAAACGCTCAACCTGTGGATATATTTTTTAGTAAAAAAAACATTTTTTTTTGCAATTTCCTCTCAAGTAATTCGACAATATGGTGTAACATGGGCTAGGGTTAGTTTTAAGGATAAATAATATTTGAATTTAGTTTTTTTTTTCTTCACAGATACAAAAAAATTGAACTATAAAAAATGGTAGTATAAATAACTTTCAATTATTTATTTTGTGTTTTTTTTTTTGCATTTTGTAAAAAATCAGTTTTCTTTTGTTGGTTGGTTGGGTTTTAAATTTAGCTTTTGAATTATAATAAAATAAAAAATAAAATAGGTTTATTAGGAAAAAATAAATATTAATTTAATTTATTTTTCAGATTGTTTTTTTTTCTTATGAATTTAGAAACTGAATTAGGGTAATTCCTATTATTAATTATTATCAAGAATTCTTGATATTTTATAAGAATTTATACTCTCATATTAATAAAATCTATTTTGTTACGTGTTTTTTTGTTTCATTTTGCCTTCATATTTCCTAATAGTTTCAAAAAATTAAATAATCGTGATTTTGAATACAGTCGAACCTGGATAAGCGAGACTTCAAGGGACCGCGATCTCTTTCTCGCTTATGGAGTTTTCTCACTTTACCGACTTTCTAGCTTATAGAGGTATAGGAGTGGCCTTCCTCTTTATAATTCACTAGCGACTCGTTGGTTAACGGGTAATAGTTGATTCCCTATACAAACTTCCAAGCCCTTTTTTACCCTCCCCCCTCCTCCCCATTCGCCCCCAAAAAAGGATGATTTCGTGGATAAAAACTATCCTATGTCCTTTCCAGGGTTTCAAACTATCTCCATACCAAATTTCATCTTAATCAGTTCAGCGGATTATGCGTGAAAATATAACAGACATACAGACATATGGATGAGGCTTGTCAAATTAATCATTTGAGCCTAAACTCGAAGATGTAAAGTGAATTGTGAAATAATTTCTTATTTTTTCTATTTTTAAACCCTATCTTTTACTTTTATTCTTTATTTTTAAGCCATGTCTTTGAATTTCATTAATTAGTAGTAATTTTGAATCAGAAAATTGTTATATTTGATTGATTGATGATTTTCGTACCAACTTTCAAACTATTTTTTAGGGATTGAATTTCTAACAATCCTATCTTAGCGGATATCTATTCCATATGAGGAATATACCCGTCGAAGTTCAAGTTTAAAGCATTAATATGAGATTTCGTGATCCACCATGTTTCGCTTCTAAAATATTATGCAAACAAACATACTTATATTTAATTATAAATTATGTACACATATTACTCATATGTGGCACTACCGACGTGCCACGGTTTTTGCCTTTTTTAGCAACCACACAGTATATTGCCGACTCGACACTCTAAGACGTGTCAATGATCAGCAACTATAAGTGCTAGAGTAATTTTCAATACACTAAAAATTTTCTTGAGGAATGCAAATCAATATAGTATAAGCCGCACCCAAAATAATTCAGTAGTTCTTGAGATTAACGCGTACATACATACATACCGTATTTATATGGATGTACGTATTACTTCATACGTTTATGTTATTAAATTTTACAAAACATGTTCAAAACATTTCATATAAACAAAAACATTCTGTAGTTATTTTGCTTACACATTTCCTTTCTCAGTATCGATAAAGCAACGGCAGGGAAAATAATTTTTATATTTAAAAAGTATTAAAGGAATTTTTCAAATGTGGCTAATTTTCACATTTTTACCATTTATGGTAAACGCTATCGATCCTGTGTTAAAGGATCTATTGACGCCGATGTCAGAGTTGGGAGAGAGCTGTGGTTATGATGTGAGTATGATACATTAATATAATATTAATTATTATTAAAATTATAGAGATTTTTTGGGGACATAATTTCATTTTGAAGATGGCTTAGGAGACCTAGGTCAGGGCTAGTAGATATCCTTGTTAGAGCTCGTCTTCCTTCAGAATACTTTCAGATTTACGCGAATATTTGACATTTTAAATAAGACAACCTTATCGGTTTTTTTTCGCAGATTTATTTTGTTTTTTTTTTTTGTATCTCCTGTGATATGAATAATGTATAGCATTTCAAGCATCGGGAACAAAAAATTAAAATAAATCCACGTTTTTCGCGGATTTCAATAACATAATTTTATTTAAAATTCTTCCTCAGTTATTTTTTTTTCTGTAAAGTAGGTACCTACTGCACATTATGTGTTGCTTATCTTCAAGCAAATAAAAATTGAATTAATTCAATTTTAATGTTATCGAATTTTACCTGTTTCTATTATTAGTAGTTGTTAGTCTTTTTCTTAGTAATTGAAATGCATCCATCGTAATTTGTATAATATGTGAAAGAATCACGTCTTAAAAAGTATAAATTATTTCAAATAGAGGAGAGTGGAAGGAGAAGAGAGGGCCTTTGCCCAGCATTGGGATAGGTACTAATGGCTGAAAAAAATTCAATTCTCTTGTTATAAAAATGTCAATTATATTTGAGTTAAATCTTCATTTGAAGTTATGTAACAAATCTATACGAGTACTATTTTAATATTAGAAATGTGAAAGTTTATGAGTATGGACGCGTGTTACTCTTTCACGCCAGAACGGCTGAACGGATCTGAAGGAAATTTGGCACAAAGATAGATTATAGTCTGGAATAACACATAGGTTATTTTTTATCCCGATAAAATGTACGGTTCCCGTGGGATAGGTTTGTTTTTGTTTTTCTAGAGTAATTGAAAGTAAAAAAATCTTAGAATAATTTAAAAGAAAAACATAAGTATGTATGTATCTCTGTACGTATGTATGTATGTTTGTATATGTGTATATTTATATTATAATTGATGTTTGTAGTTTGTACGTACACCGCACCACATGATTATTTTTATATTTTTTCACGCTTGAGGGTTTCTGGTAGAGATCTCTTAAAGAGATAAGTCATCCTTTGTACACATGGTATCTACTGGTCTAGGTTTTCGCTTGTATGTTTTTTTTTGGTACATAAATAAATAAATGAATAAATAAATATTTCATGAACTATTTAGATTTAATTTCGGATCTTTTTCTGGATCATCATTTTAAACATGCGTTTTATGTAGAGTTGTCCTGAGATAAAAGAAGGGTGGACCAACGTGCACATTGTTCCCCATTCTCACGCTGAACTTGGTTACATGAAGACGTTCGATGATTATTATACAGGATGTAAGTAAAAACTATTTTATGAATATATTTTTTAAGTTAGATTCAACTTTTGTTTATACATTTTTTAATTTAAATTAATTTTCATTTCTGTTTTTCGCCAATCAATCTTCATCAATTTTTCTTTATACTACGTATCATAGGTAAAGTAAAGATTATTTAACTAGCATGTGCTAGCAGAAGGCATAAACTATGCATTTTATTTGTTGCGATCATATAGACTTCTTTTTGGATATATACAATTACTGTAATTCCTAACGAGATCTGTACACAGACAAACAAATATATTTTTGAAAAGTAAAAATAAAGAATTTTGTATTGTCGGTAAATAATTTTTACTTTACCATTTCAAAACAAAAATTTTACCAAATTTGAATTTTTCAGATGACGATTTTTACGAAAATTCAAATATTAATATGAAAAGAACGTTAGACTCAGTGATCAGTGAACTGTGGGCCGATAAGAAGAGGAAGTTAGTATATATTTTTATATTTAAAGATACAGTCTTTAAACGACTTCAAAAGAGGATTTTCTCAATTCGAGTGTATTATTTTCAAGGTGTTTTAAAAAAAACTACCAATTTGGTCTTTGAATTAACAGTTAATATAGAAATATAAAATAAAAAAATAGATATAGAAAAGTCCACTTTCAGTTTTTCCCTTTCTTAATTTTCCCGATAGCTTTTCCAGTTCTTGGTCTCTAAAAACCTTATTTGGATTGTATAAATAAACAAACAATTAGTCAAATCGATCCAACTGTTCTCAGGTGATGTTTTTTTAAGACAAATACACAGTCATATTGACATAAATAAATATGTTGGGACATTTCACACAGCACCATCTTGTTCCATGGAAAGCTACGAGGCTTGTGTTATGGATACCAGATAGTTGATACACTACACATAAATAACTTTAAATACAGACATATTATAAATATAAACACCCATGACTGCAGTACAAACATTCGTGCTACACAAATGAATGCCCCCAGCGGGACTCGAACCCGCGACCGCTGGCACAGCAAGTAGGATCACTACAAACTGAGCCAACGTGTCGTCTAATGATTTGACATGATTATCTGTTTCAGGTTTACGTTATCTAACAGCGAGTTGCCATATTTTTTCCATTGGTGGTCTAATAGAGCTAGTATAGGTAATTCTATGCGATATTAGTTGAAATGTATGTGGAAGAATCTTTATAGTCTAAGATCAAAACTAAAGTATCTGCTTACTTGATAGAAAATATTTTGTATTGAACTTAATACAATTTAAATAAATAGGTAATATTATAGTTAATACTGCCTTTCCCTATAAATATGTTTTTTTAAGTTTTAAGTTTTTTTTTATGTTAGTCTTATTTGATTACATTAAATGAATTTGATTTCAATTGGAAGTACAAAGTGTAAGAAAGATGAAAAACTTAGACTGGATTGCAATAAATAGATAACAAATCACAGTTGCTAGACTAAAATTTAAAAATATACAAATAGGACACTATATTTTTGTTTTGGCTCATTAGCGTCCGGCAATCCAGCCAGGCGTGAAGCTAAGAGACATACGGAGAGGCAGCCTGATACTTGATAGCAAAGTGAACCATGGGAGAAACCTATGGTTGTTGTAGTCTGTAGTGCGTGAATAATCATGCGGCCGCCTTAAAGAGGTTCCATAGGCTTTAGTGGGTAGTACTGGTACTGCTCTGTCGATTGAGACTCGCATAACATCCTGTGTGATGTTAGGTAGACTATACCCTTTCACAATCGATAAGCTATAAAATGTGTAAATAACTTTTTAAATCAGACACCTAGTCTATAGTCTATACTATAATGTTTAGTACAAAATACTTTTTACCCGGTAAGCAGTTGAATCAAGAGTGAACTTACATCGGATCTTAGACTAAATATATCTACCAGATTGTACATAACAAAGTAAATTGTGTTTTAGTTCATCGAATGGTCTACGAACTGATACGCCAGGGCCGGCTGGTGTTCGTGGGGGGAGGATGGGGGATGGTGGACGAAGCTACCACGTACTACCAAGCTGTTATTGACAGCTATACTTTTTCTTTAAGGTAATAATACTTTTTTTTATCTATTTAGAATAAGGGAAATTACAAATATACTTTTTTATGTGTACAAAACCAATGTACACTTATTTATTTCTGTACAATTTATGTCCGCGTGGAATAGTGGCAAGAATGCTAGCCGCATTCCCTCGCTGAATGCCAATGCCGATTCCTTGGAAGAAAACAAGTGTCTGTTTGTAATGACGAAATAAAAGCGTTTAGAGTATTTAGCACATTATCTACGGTAATTATAAAAAAAAACAAAATCATAAAAACTGTCTGTCTGTCTTGTTTGTCTGTCTGTCTGTTTTTTTTGGCTAATCTCCGAAACGGCTGGACTGATTTTGACGGGACTTCCACTCGCAGATAGCTGATGTTATAAGAAGTAACCTGGCTACTTTTATTTTAGAAAAAAATAGGGTACCGCTCAAAAACATTAAATCGTACCTAGGGATGCATCGCATCTAAGCGAGGGTGTCGCTAGTAATATATATATTTCTTTCAGAAAGCTAAACTCGACTTTCTTATCCTGTGCTCGTCCGCTGGTGGCGTGGCAGGCAGATTCCTTTGGACATTCTAGAGAACATGCATCGTTAATCGCACAGATGGGATTCGACGCTCTTTTTATAAACCCCATCAGCTTTGATGATGAGATGATTAGGATGGAGAGAAAGGCTCTGGAGTTTTTGTGGAGAGGAAGTGACGATTTGGGTAAATAAAAAAAGCTTCCTAAGACTAAGATAAGGCAAATTCTCTATGTAATAAACTTTAGTCTTTCCTGTGGCCATGATTGCTGTAAAGCATTCAAAACATCGGGAACTAAAAATCAAAATAAATCTGGGAAAAGGACCGAAAAGATAGTTTTATTTAAATTCTATGTACCTACATAAAACACAAATTTCTGCATTCTACTTTTCGGTGGAGACTTTTGGAGAGATAGTTGGCTGTATTCTTGGGTTTGGCATGTTTCATAAAATAAAAGTTAAAAAAAAAACAGTCTTTATGTCCGATTTCCGACAAATTGAAGAGTTGAAAAGAAAATCAATTACTTTAGTTTTTGAAAAAACTTTCAACCTTTAACCCTTTCAGAGGTAGAATTTTCACAAACTCATCCCCAGTCCTCTGACGAAGAATTCTTATGCATAACATCACACAGTTAGACTGAGCATTTTGGGAGGTGATAATTTTACTTCCATTTTTAAGGTTCCGCACTTGGAGGGTGCGAACGGAACCTATTACTAAGCTTTCGCTGTCCGTCCGTCCTTCTGTCAGAGGGACATGCGTCCGTCATCTCATGAACCGTAATAGGTAGGGAGGTTAAATGTTCAAAGAATATGTATTTCTATTGCGGCTATTATAAAAAATGATAAAAACAAATAAATAAAAATGCAAGAAACTTCTTTTTAACTTTCGTAATCGATCATCGAAATTAATATACTACATAGATAGAGTAAAAGACTTTTACTAAAAGTCATATTAATAAAAAGTCACTACATATACGACGGTACGGAACCCGTCGTGTGCGAATTCGACTCGCACTTGACCGATTTTTTTATATGTCAATTTTTATTATTGATATGACTTATCTTCGTGTTTTATCTTCAGGTCCCGAAACTGATATTTACACGCACAAATTGTTCGATGGCTACTGGTCTCCGCCAGGGTTCTGCTTCGGCAGTTTATGTTCTGATCCTCTGCTTATAACTTCGGATAGTGTTTTTAAAAATGCTGAAGAACGAGTGAGTATAATTATACGTAAAGGGGTTACTTCTGTTTTATATGCAAACTTTCTTATTGTCATTAAATTTGATGGAACTGAGAATGTAGTGTATCTGAGAACTAACATATCTTTTTGACGACACGTTTGGCTCAGTCTGTAGTGAGCCTACTTGCTGTGCCAGCGGTCGCAAGTTCGAGTCCCGCTAGGAGCACTTATTTGTCTTATAAGCACGAATGTTTGTACTAAAGTCATGGGTGTTTATATTAATAGTATGTATGTTTGTATGTATGTATGTATAGAAAGTTATATATGTGTAGTATATCAACTATCTGGTATACATAACACAAGCCTTGTAACTTACCATCATGAACGAATTAGAGACATTATTATTAGGTACAAATTATTATCATTAAAACCTTGACTATATACAAACTTAGATCCAAATGCCCATTTAATAAGATAACATAATAGTCATTCTCTTTTTATCCACAGTCTATTTATTAAGGAACGTCACAGGTTAAATATAACAGTGTTAAAGACATAGATTAAAATATTTTCAGGCAAACGTTTTCATAGATGCTATCCGATATCGTCAAGCCCCATATTACAATACAAGGCAAGTGATGGTGGTGTTGGGGCAACGAATGGGTTATTTTAACGCAAGAATCTGGTATGAGAATATCGACAAGTTAATCTTGTAAGAACAATATTTTTCTATTTTTTACTTATGTTGTTTAAGCAATTTGTATGTCTGTTTCTAAGCTTTTGAACACAAACTGCTGGAAGTATAACGTTGATATTGTTTTGAGATACAACAAAAACATTGTTTACAGTATAGAAATATATAGGTGTTTTTTAATTTATAATGTTATAAGCATTAAGCAATATATTTTCGAAATTTTTACATGTTATACTAATATATATAGGTCAGCTATACTCAACCTGCGGCCCGCCGCGCCTTTGTTATTGGCCAATCTGAAGTTACATCTCAGAGTTGGCTTCCGTTTTAAATTGTAATCACTCAGAGTTGTTTGATGAGTTCATCGGTTTTGAAAACGATACCTATCTAGAAATTCTGTTTAAAGGAAAAAGGGAAAACAAACCATGACTGAAACGTGTTTGTGGCCCCTATAAAAAAAAGGTTGAGTATGGCTGCTCTAGGTCTATCTATCTTTGTACTAAATCCGTCCAGCCATTATTGCGTGAGTGACAAATATACACACACAAACACGTATATAGACTTTTGCATTTATTAGTGATTCTTTAATCAGATAAAGATTAGTATGGGAAATTTCAAATTATACAAAATGTTAGTCTGTAAAGTAAGCTGACTCTATAATCAACCTCTATGGCATTAATAGCTTTACCCGCGGCTTTGCTCGCGTATTCTATTTATATATATGTAACTGTTTCGATCCTTAAAGTCCGAATATTTGACATTTTAAACAAAACTAGCATTTCAGATTTTTTCGCGGATTTTTTTGGATTATATTGGCTCCCGATGTCTTGTGGGTAGGTCGTAGGTGCTGTCTGTAACAACTATATAATGACCTTGAGACGTCTAGAACCTCAGTCTCTCCCGTGACCATGTGGGATGTAAAACATTCGAAACGCCGGGAACCAAAAATCAAAAGAAATCCGCGAAAAGAACTGAAATTCGTAGCATGTTAGATAGCTTAAAACCTTCCTCAAATGCAACAAAAACTTCTGCAAATCTGATTGTTAGTTCCAAAGGTTAAACAAACAACATAAACACGACTTTATGTTAATTACAGCTACGTAAATGAAAGGACTTACAGAGAGAATCTCAAAATAAATTTGATGTATTCTAACCCTTCATGCTACTTGAATGCTGTACAAGGAGAAAAGTGAGTGTGATATTCCTAATATATTATAAAAATGAATAAATATGTTGGTACATTAACACACAGCACCATCTAGTTCCATGGTAAGCTACGAGGTCTGTGTTATGGATACCAGATAGTTGATACACTACACATATATAACTTTAAATACATACATATTATTAATATAAATACCCTTGACTGGAGTACAAACATTCGTGATCATCACACAAATGAATGCCCCCAGCGGGACTCGAACTCGCGACCGCTGGCACAGCAAGTAGGGTCACTACATACTGAGCCAAACGTGTCGTCCAAATATTATATGAGAATAGCGGCTTACTCACGTCGAGTGCGTCCCTAGGGATAAATGGTGTCAGAAAGCATACAGGACTACCATACAAAGATAAAAATTTAGGGGTTATGTGTATGTTCCTGACGTTTGCGGGTATATGTAATCCATACATATAATAAAATTGTAACTAAGCCGAATCTGTACATTAAATATTTTTTGGAAAATCTAATTGAAATAGACATTATTATCGATACAGAGTCCGAATCTATAGTTTTTAGAATTTTTGTTTGTCTGCCTGTCTGTCTGTCTGTCTGTCCGTCTGTCCGTCTGTTACCGCATCACGAGATAACCACTGGACGGATTTTGATGAAATTTGGTATGATGATCCGGGTCAACATACAGGATACTTTTTACCGTGGGAAAATATCTCATTACTGAGAAAAAATACAAAACCTGCAATGTAAGAGTATACAAATATATAAAACCTAAGTATTTGGTTTTTGGTCATCTGAAGGCGGGCGGAGCTGCGGGCAATGCTAGTGAAATAATAAAAAATGAAATATAATGCAATGAAATAAAATCAATTTTATTCAAATAGACGTATTATAAGAACTTTTGAATCGTCAATTTAGTTTAAATAGCGTTAGTGTAGTCAGTCCGTGAGGAAGCTACCACCGGCTCGGAAAGCATTTCTGCTGAGAAGAGCACAAGATAAACTCAACAGCTGCTCTTTTTATAACTTATAAATAACTAGGTAATAGGTATTATTATAATAATAGTTATTTGCTTGTATCTAAATCCATTGAATGCTTGAGCAAGTGACAAACAAACAAACATTCATAATAGTAATATGATTTGCTAAATATTCGATTTTAAGTCCAATTTTAGAAACAAAGCAAGACGATTTCTTTCCCTTTGCATACAACAAGTATTCATACGCATCTGGAATGTTCACCTCGAGACCAATTTTCAAGTATTTTGTGAGGGAAGCTAATATCTATTTGCAGGTAATACATATTTATATTCAGCCCTTTTTAACGTCCCATTGCTGGGAGTGGGCCTCCCTTCAATACGAGAGGGACCAGGCCATAGCTCACCACGCTGGCCAATCGGGTGGACTGAGCATGTCTTTCGACAACTTACTAAGTTCTCTCAAACATGCAGGTTTCCTCACGATGTTTTCCTTCACCGTAAGACAAGTGGTGATCATGTTGGAAATGATTCGCATAAGAATATCAGAGGTGCGAGACCTGGGATTTGAACCCGATTCACTCACGCACTTTCCTAAGCGAGTGGATTACCACTATACTGTTAATGCCTAGATAATATTTATTATAGACAAAATTTTCGCTTTCTACCGGGCTCGCTATGTGTTGATTCAGGAAATACGGGGATTCCCCTCCGATGTTCGGTGCCTGACTGCAGTCTGTAGTACTCTATACTAGATGATAGAATATCTGTACAGTGGTGTAGGTAGCATGCATTACATCATGGGCGATAATCGATGTTGTCACCTTTAATTAATCTGCATCCTTATGGAAACTCAAATGATTCCTTTATTTAATCGGGTGTCACCCCCTAAATAGATAGCACCAACACAATCACAGATTTTTGAATGATTTTCCTTATAAATAATGCAGCATATACTTTCGGAAATATTTATATTTTAGATTGCAAAGCAGTTACAAGTTTTAGCAAATTTAAAAAACAAAGAAGAAGTCTTAGAAGAATTGAAATGGATTGTTGGTAAGAATTAACAAAAGCTTACTATTTTTAAATAAAAATATCTTTTCGATTTTTTCGCGGATTTATTTTGATTTTTGGTTCTCGAAGTTTCGAATGCTTTACAGCAATCATGGTCACGGGAGAGACTAAGGTTTTAGACGTCTCAAAGGTCAATATAATATAGTTGTTACAGACAGCCTACCCACAAAAGTACAACATGAATTAAAAAAAATACAAACATGGCACCAACGTACCTTACAAGATTTGTTAATTTTAATCATTTTTTATGATTTGGACCTGAACAACGAACTTATGAATAACTTTTATAGGGGTGGTGCAAGATCATAATATAATAACAGGAGCTATGAGACCCTATGCAGCGAGTTATTATTCTGAAAAGCTACATTCAGCGATAGAACAAGCTATACCCTTAATTGGAGAATCTTTTAAGTATGTATACAAGATACTTACCCTTGCTTTACTCAGTTTCTGTTACTCCAGAACATCGTCTATCTGTGTACCAAATTCCATCCAATTTCGTTTAGCCGTTTTCGGGTGAAGGAGTGACAAACATACTCATATAAAAATGTTCGTATGTACGCGACATATTCTAATATTGTAAACAAAGTTATTATTGAAGTGAAACTTCTTTAGAATCGTTGTGATTTGAAACTAGATGAAACGGAAATGCGACACTAGAAAGAGACAAACCCATAAATATATAGGATTAAGCCGGCGAGAGAACGAGATAGAATACATTGCCATTTTGCCATAGTGACCGTTGTTATTGTGAGACAAATATATAATGTTATATTCTTTCCGTATATGATAATTTATTTTTTTATATTTTTTTGTTTAGTAAACTTCGTAAGACTGAATCACCGGCAGTCTACCACAGATGCTCATTTAACACGTCTTCATGTCAACATACTAAAGGAAATGCTTTTAATGTGAGAAGCTTTATTTCTTTTCTAAATAAAATTCTAATTATAATATTAAAATTATAACTTTTATAATTATTATTTTTTAAATTAAAAATACATACATACAAACCTATGTACCTATATTCCGAGAAAGAAGAGGTGGTTCTACAAGCTCTTCGTTTTTTGAAGTCGGGTAAAACTAAGAAAAATATTGAATAAAGAATTTATTTTAAGCATAAGCATGTTTAGGAGATAAAAAAAGGTTTGTGTAGAAGATTTCAAAGAGCACTTGTTGAGTTTCCTTTGAGCCCTTCTCAGCAGAACTGCATTTTCACTGACTTGACGTTTGCAAATATAAATGTAAGAATTGAAAATGTGTGTAAGTCTGTTCCTACATTTCAGTTTGAGTTAATGTCAGCTTACTTTTAAAGTTAAAAAAAATCTCTTTGTAATATTGTGTTTTTATTTTCTAGAATGTAATATTCAGTACAGTGACATCTATTATTTAAAATTGTTATGCATTCACAAGAAAGCTTTTTGTATGGAATTTTTATTATCGAATGAATTTATGATATATATATATATATATATATATATATATATATATATATATATATATATATGAATTTCATTCAATATAAATTCACATTCAAAAAAACAATCCTTAATCAACTTAAAAAAACGCGATATCGCTACCTGAGGACCAATTTTCGAAAATCTCCATTAAAAAAAATACAGAAAATTCCACACGCCTGCACAATAATATTTTAGAATGCAGATAGCTAGTTTCAGTGTTTTTAGGGTTCCATACTTCAAAATGAAAAAAGGAACCCTCATCACTCACTTTGTCGACCCTCCGTCCGTCCGTCTGTATATCTTTAAGTACATATTTGTTTCAGATTGTCGTGTACAATCCACTGGCATGGTCAGTCAATACATCAATTAGATTGCCGATTTTCAATAAAGATTATGATGTGTTTGATTCAACAGGTAAGACATAAGAAATATTCTAAAATTTGGTTTTTTATTGTGTGAAATAGCTAAAGTACTATGGATGCAAATTTATTGTAAATGGGAGATATGTTGAGGCGTAAATAACGATATTCATTCTATTTTTTCAATATTAGTAATTATTAGACAAAGAAAAATGATGCGGCTTGGTATTTTCATTTACTAAAAATAATTTAGATTGGATTCTTCAAAGAAAATTACTGCTTTTTGTAAACGTGACTTTTTATTACAAAAAATTAAACAGAAGATGTGGAACTAGAAACCATTAAAATAACACTTTTAGACTTCTCTATTTATGAGGAAGAAATAAAATACTTAAAAATAGTATATATTTAATTTGATGATGGCAACCCAAAAAATATAATAATTAAAAATATTTCAGATACCAAAATAAGAGCGGTCATAATGAAAACATCAGACCATGTTTTAAAAATTCCAAACAGACATACAACCGAATATGAATTAGTATATATAGCCAAAGTGCCACCTCTAGGTTTTACTTCTTATAAAGTTATAGCAAAAAGAAGAAAACGATCATTTATCAAGAAAACTAACGAAAACCAACAAAAAACAAATTTCATTCGTCAAGTTAATAATAATAGATCAATATTTGATGATTATGACGATTTTGATGAAACAACAGCAGAAAATAAGATTGATTTTGGGAATGTAAGTAGAGATGATGTGATTAATGATAATAGTAATGTTGTAACGTCTAGAAGTAAAACTACAGCTACTGCTTTATATTCTACGACTGAAGTAGAAGTAACAAGTGTTCAAGATACAACTGCAGTTGAAAATTTGAATAATTCTAAAGTTAATTTCAATTGGTTTGTTGAAGAAGCAGAAGAAAAAGAGAGTGTTGGAGAAAAACAAACTAATCATAAATATTACTATGAAGAATCTAATGATACTTTTATAAGGAATGAGGTAATCTTTTTTTTGGCAGATGTTGAAAAATGTTTGTCTGTTTGTTTAAATTTAGTAACATAACACTTTATTGCAAATATAATGATACTATTCTAACATAATGTAAACAAAAACAAATCTATCCCACGAGGACCGTACTATTTTCTGGAAAAGTAACTTATATACTACTCCAGACTATAATCTATCTTTGTGCCAAATTTCATCCAGATCCGTTCAGCAGTTCTGGCGTTATTGAGTAACAAACATCCATCCAAACTAGCATTCATAATATTAATGGGGTAATGGGATATTAGACATTACTGTATGGATTTTAATATGCCTTTATTTGTTTTATTTACATTATGCAGGTTGTAGACTATAATTTATGAATATTTTCCGAAAATTAACTACCGATATGACAATATTTAGAATTTAAGTCGAAAGAAATATTCCTTCTAGCAAGGGTATGCCGTTAGTCCGTACTAATATTATAAATGCGAAAATGTGTTTGTTTCATTGTTTGTTTATTTGTTTATCCTTCTTTACGAAAATCAATAATATTGCATTTTTTTTCAGTACATACAAATAAATTTAGATGAGTACCGAAAAATATCAACCATGAATCTTTCAAACGGGATCAACACGACTTTGGATATCCAATATTATTACTACATTTCTGATGTCCCAGAAAAGAACAGCACCAAAATCGATCCAGGCGCTTACATTTTCCGAAGCAACGACTCGAACCCAGTACCTATTATAGATTATATAAACACGAGGATATATAAAAGTGATGTGGTCGAAGAAATTCATTGCAAATATTCAGATTTTGCTAGTTTTGTTGTAAAATTGTATTCTGAAAGTCCGGTTTTAGAAGTGGATTGGGTTTTGGGACCAGTGCCAGCTGATGATGGTTTGTATTGGACTACTATAAGTGTTAAAATGTGTATGTGTGTTTGTTCGTTAACCCTTCACGCTGTAACGGCTGAACTGATTTGGATGAAATTTAGTGCACAGATAGACTATAACCTAGTGATACATAAGCTATTGTGTGAGACCTAGGGACGCTAGTTAGATTGTATATTTAAAAACAGAACAAATAATAATAGCTTCTAATTTATATTGGGAGTCTAAGGTATATGTATATATAATTGTTATAATTCCAATCAATAGAATCATCTAAAAGTCATACCAAATAAAATCTGATCAACTATTCAAGAGTAAGAATCGATAACAGAGACAGACAGAAGATATACAAAAGATATTTTTCGTTTGGTTATGTATATATCTTTTTATACCAACTAAACCCAAAACCTGAACTTTTTATTCAAATTTTTACCAATTTCAAAAATAGGAATTAGACAATTCTGGTAGATGTACGTACCTATATATGTAAACTTTTTTGGATATATGTTACCAATATCTTTGCCAAATGCTTACCGATTTTCGTGATGTTTTGAACGAACAGATATACAGACATACTACCAACAGGTGAACATTTAAAAAAGATAAACCATTCACATATAGTTGTGGGAAAATACAATTAATTTGTTTTTGAAATCGATATAATCTTTAAAAATTCCATAATTATTTACATCAAGGTCTTGGCAAAGAAGTGTTCCTACGATACACAACAAATTTAAATAACGATGGTGTTTTCTACACGGACGCCAATGGCAGGCAAATGATAAAACGGATACAAAATACTCGAGCGACGTACGAACCGCACAATTTGGACCCTATTGCTGGTGAGTTTCACTAAAATTGGTACAGTTTAAATAAAACTATCTTTTCGGATTATTTCGCGGTTTTATTTTGATTTTTGGTTCCCGACGTTTCGAATGCTTTACAGCATCCATGGTCACGGGAGAGACCATGGATGCTGTAAAGCATTCGAAACGTCGGGAACCAAGTAACAAAATAAAACCGCGAAATAATCCGAAAAGGTAGTTTTATTTAAAATGTCAAATATTCGCGTAAATCTAAGAAAGTATTATGATAATTGGTACAGATTTTTACTATAAACTAGCTGTCCTAACAGATGTTCTGGGAAAATATAGTCTAATAATCCATACAGTTGTTAACAAAGGCGTCAAGACAGGATAAACATGCGGGGGGAGTCGTGGGAAAGCGCTTCCGACTGGCATACTTACTTTTATATGACAGTCGGGTAACCGTGGTGTAGTGGCTAGCTAGCATGTACGGCTGCGAATCCGGAAGTCCTGGGTTCGAGTCTCAGGTCGGGCCAAGTTATACACGTAAAGCCGTCGGTCTTACTTAATGTTTTGAATAATGAGAAATCCAAAGATAAAAAAATTATCACACGTAATAAATGCGAAAGTTAGTATGTCTGTATGTTTGTCACTCTTTCACGCTAAAACGGCTGGACCGATTTGGATGACATTTTGTACATAAATAGACTGTGATCTTTAGTCATATATAGGCTACTATTAGGCACCCGAGCGAAGCGAGGATAGATCATTAAAACAAAATAACTTGAAAATTATAATTCTCATATTAAACTTTCAGGTAACATGTATCCTGTTACATCAAGGATATATATGGAAGATTTGAACAAAAACCTTCGCTTCTCAATTTTCAACGACAGGTCTCAAGGAGGAGCATCCATTTTGGAAGGATCGATAGATCTATTTGTGTTAAGACGTATATTCACTGATGATAGCAAAGTTCAGTCGTACATGAATGAAACTGAGTATGGAAAGGGCCTAATTGTCCGTGGGACACACTATCTCTACCTAACTAAGGCTAATTTCAAACAAAATAGGCTGTTTGAGAAAAAAATTTCAAAGGAGATTGAGTTGAAATCTCAAATTTTTGTCTCGTTAAACAATGATAAGGCCGGTAATAAAACTTTTACAGGTTTAAAAAGCAAGCTGCCATTTGGGGTACATCTGCTGAGTTTAGAGAAGACCGATGATGGTCTGTTAGTTCGACTCGAAAATTATTTGGAGAAAGTAGACGTTTTGAGGAAAAACATAAAACGTGTTTATTTAAAAGATCTATTTTTCAATATACAAATTATAAATGCTGTCGAAACAACATTGGGTGGACACATCCTTAAAAAAGATTGGACTCCAATAAAATGGCAGAAAAATGAAAGCTTTGTTAGAAATTTCAATGATTTTTATGGAAAAGACAAAAAAGAATTCAGTGATGACGTCAATATTTATGATGATGACGGGTCTGTTGATGAGATAATTTTAATCCCCCAGCAAATTAGAACTTTTTTAATTAAATATGTGTATATTAATGATAAAATTTAATAGTAATTAAAGACTTTCAATAAAAGATTATCATTTTTTTCTAGTATTTAAATTAACCTATACCACTAGAATTTATATATTACTAGCGGCTCACGCTCGCTTCGCTCGGGTTAACATCTAGGAAAAAAAAAAAAAACCTATCACAGGGGAACCGTACATATTTCCGGGATAAAAAGTAGCCTATGTGTTATTCCAGACTATAATCTATTTCTGTGCCAAATTTCATCCAGATCCGTTCTGCCGTTCTGGCGTGAAAGAGTAACAAACATCAATACATACTCACAAACTTTCACATTTATTATATTAATAGTACAGATGTACTAACTGACCCAACAGTCATATTTCTATGGAAGTATACATTAACCACCCACCGCCATTTTTTTTAAAGCCGCAGCGCACAATGAAACTATATCTAGTAATAGAGGACTTAAAAAAATATATTACATAACAATAGGTGTCATGTTTCAGAGATATTTTTAGATATATATGAGGGAGATATTTTTAGATATTATAGGCTTATATGAGAACTACTCATATGAATCCATTGATCAAAAAAAGTACTTAAAACTGTCACCAATTATGTTTAGGTAATTATTGTAGTTGAAATAAATATACAACAATGTAAATTGAACCTTAAATGCAATGCTTAAAGTTGTTTTCACAAGAAATAAAAGCGCGCTCAAATGTTCTAAGAGCGCTCATTAGTTGAGGACATTTTTTGTCGCTGATTGTGTATCTAGTACATTTTTGATCGATTTATTAATGAAATTAATACATAATAGCATGTAATAACAGTTTTTAATTATTGTCATTATTTCATATTGCGATTTACCTTCAATTATATCGAAACTTAGAAAAAAAACTTTAAGGCGCCATAAGCTAATATTTTTTGTTTGTTCAAGAGTCTTCTATTCATATGCACTAAGTACTTATTTTATATACATAAAAATTTAGAAAAAAAATTTAAGTGGCGGAAGGTTAGCAATGACAGGAAAAAACATTTTCTTTTAAAAAAAAAGTTATAAACTCTAAAACTTATATTTGATAAAATAAATTAAACAATGAATTACTGTAAATATATTTTATTGAAATAATAAACTTTTATTGCAAAAGATTTAGTTTGGAAAAAAGCTTTTTCTATGTATGTAATTCGACATTTTGTGGTGGCGGACATCTTGGATTTGAAATTTTTCATAGTTTATAGTATTCTACTAGTCAAGCCCTTTCATTTGATACCCATATTGAGGAAGTTGTGACAAAATATGTAATCCGCCATTTTGTGGCGGCGGCCATCTTGGACCAATTTTCATTATAGCTAAGAACACTCCCGACTAATTCACCTTTTAAACAAAAAAAAACAAAATTAAAATCGGTTCATCCGTTCGGGACCTACAATGCCACAGACAGTCACACACACACAGACCCCGTCGTTTTTACGTCGGGGATTAAAAATAAAAAAACGCAGGAGGATACATATGTACATGTTACTTATAATGAAATAATAAATATAAATTTTACAGTGAATTATTTTTTATATATATGTAATTGTACAATGTACAAATATCTTTTCAGATGTGGCTCGTTAGACATTTAAGTTTTATTTAACAATTTCTACTTGCATTGTAGTTGCAGTCAAAACGTAACACTTCTTTTTGTTTATTGCTAATATATTATTATTTATTTAAAACTTCTCTTAGCTTTAGCTTCAGCTGCATCGCTTGCTTCCACAAAAGTTCTTTTCAGTTTGTTTTTTCGGCTTTCTCGATACTTAGCCGACACTTTTTCAGCCAATTTTGCAATTCTTTTCATAGTTTGTGGTGGGTATCTAAAATAAAGTAATAAATGATATTTAATTTTTATTTATAATGTACTCTTGACCGATTCCGGCCACGGCGGCCAATCTCATTGAGACTAGCCAACTGCGCAGGAGATATTATAGTGCACAAGTGTGCGCGTAAACACAGGTGCACTCTTTATTCCTGTCACTCTCATACTCCAGTGAGACGACACGAGACACGATCGATGAGAGTTAAACAGCAGGACCGACGCGACAAGTGCTCTCCGAGGCACGAGGTAAACTTGGTCCGACGCGGGACTCGAACCCAAGACCTCCGGATGTGCAGCCGTACATGCTTGCCACTACACCACCGAGGCAGTTAGTTTTTACTTATATTTTATTTGCAAGCAACAGATCCATATTGATTTTTTAATAATTTTTTTGAAGTTATACTTTAAAAAGCGACATGATGAAGTTAGCTGCATTCCTTTTACAAACAGAGAGTTGTGACATACGGGATGAAATCTTTAGCTATTTTTGTTCTGTCATGCTAAAAAAGTAAAACTTCATATGTCCATACATAATAAATACACACACTTTTTTTTTGTTTAGGGAATATTCTTCGATACTTTTGACAGACTTACATTCTAGCATTTCTCTGATTTTTATATTATTTCATTAATGAGGAAAGTAAACAAGCTTTTTTGACTTTTTTAAATTATATGATAATACTAAACTTTTTTAAAGCTAGCATGGGTCTTTTCTATACATATAATAAAAGTCTAACAGAGTCAAATCTGTACATTCAATATTGTTTTAGAAAATCTTATTGAATTAGTCATTATTATTGCTACAGTGGCAGAATCTAGTCTTTAGAATTTCTGTCTGTCTGTCTACGCATCACGAGAAAACCACTGGACAGATTTTGATGACATTTTGTATGACGATAGCTGGTTATCCGGGTCAACATATAGGGCACATTTTACTGCAGGAAAATATCTCATCTCTGAGAAATTTGTTAACCTTTAAAATGTATCTATAGACGAACTCAAGCGGAATGAGGGCGAGTCGCTAGTTAATTATAAATTTGAGTATTTATTATTTACCTGCATCCCAAAAACTCAATATTAGTAAACAATTGAGCTAACGTTATCAACTCATGTTCTGGAAAGTCATCTTTGTGTTCCTGCATGAACATACGTCTTACTGCCCACTGTTCTTCAGATTCATGCTCAGATCTCAATGAGTCCACATCGATTGAGGGTTTCATTTTGTTTCGTTAGAGTATTTTTTCTGGGTTTCGATTTGTATCTGTAAAAATCCAGACTCCAGTTACTTATAATTGGAAAGATCGAGTAAGTTTTTATAGCTACATTAATGTTAGTTGTTTGACACTTACGAATAATACTATTAATTTTAAAAAAAAATTGTCTTCAATTTAATTCTTTTAAATTAGCTTTAATGTTTTTAATACATATGAATAACACGATACGATTATTTGATTATATTAATATTTTGACAGCTGACAATTCAGTGTTGTTTAAAAAATATCGATATCATGATCGATATTATTATGCGTATCTTATAATACATTTGTAAATCGAGTTAATGAAATAGATTATTAAAATCTAAACAAAATATGCTACCTTTGCAATCAGAAAACTTAGTCAATTATCTTATATGTATCATGTCATAAAATATTTTTCATAAAATTTTAGACATTATTATTTAAAACATATAAAAAATAAATCTGTAATATTTATAATATAAGCTTTAAACATAGTATTCTAGGAATAAACGTTAAATTTTAGAAACGAGGATTTGTATTTAGCCTTTTTTAATGTCCCACTGCTGGGCACGGGCCTCCCTTCAATACGAGGGGGCTTAGACCATAGTCCACCACGCTGACCGAGTGCGGATTGGCGGACTACACATGTCTTTCGAAAACTTGCAAGGTTCTCTCAGACATGCAGGTTTCCTCACGATCTGTTAATTACTTCTGCAGTATAGTATTATATGATCTGTGCTTCTGCTGACTTTCAAGCCAATACTCTCCAGTCTTTGTCGCCATTCTCAATTCGTCAATTTATATAATTCTAAAATTGTCAATTTTCATTTATTTTATTTTAAGCTATTGCATAGCTTCTATCGCGGGCCTTGAGCGTGGGGATCGAATCCAGAAATTCCGTAACGAAAAAAACCTGACACCCCCCACTCCGACCGGCACAGCGGTGATACTTTTTAGTTTTTCCATCTATCGATAAATATCAGAACTTTTAATGACTTTTTGAAATATCACGCTTGTCTCTTTAGTTCAGCAACCCGCCTTTGGGTGGCATTGGTTGTATTGGAAAACTACCGTAATCAGCTGTTTGTGAGAAAGTATATAGGTGTATAGGTATTTATCATCTATGTACAACAGTGAATATCTGTACTCGTATAATTTGTGTACAAAGTGTTTTAAATATGAATAAACAAAGTGCATTTATTAATGAAGAAAGTCAAGGAAAAAAATACTGCATTAATAAAATAAATAATTATAATTGCATAAGTTGATAAAAAATGCTATGCAATAGCTTTAGCGCGGCAGTCTCCGAGTGCCACATTTAATTTTATTTTTAATAATAATTTGGTTGTTTTAAAGAAAGTATTATTTAAATGGTTGTTTATAAGTTGCCCTCTAAATCGACTTTTTCAAGCCGACAAATACTTCTCTGATATAGACAAAAAATAGCAAATACGTCCTCATTACATATTATGTTTTAAAGTAAATTCTCATTTTTTTTAGATTTAATATTTTTAATAACTCTAATTATTTATTTGATATTTTAATACGTTTTAATTATACAAATATTTGGATTCCGTTGGAATTGAGATTCCATTGTACCTCGCAGCCCTAGCATGAACATTTATACTGCATGATAGTTTAGCTATAGTAAAATTTTGTATGGATTTGAAACTCTAAAGGATTAAGCCGACGAGAGAATGAGATAGAAAACATTGCCATGTTGCCATGGTAACCGTTGCTATTGTCTGACAAATGATATAATAATATATTCGTTCTTTAGATGTGATTGTAATATGCCTTATTTCATTTTTTATATGTTTTAATTAAATTGCGATATTTGCCAAAGAAGTTTTACTTCAAACGCGCGTAAAGGTTTAAGGTTACACGCGTCCATTTTTTTCACGTATAGTTTTAGTACTTTACTTCAGCTAGCTATCGAGAAATATTCAAACGTTGTCACCCACCGACATTTTTAAAGTTTTAAAGTAAGTCATTGAGAAAGGTTTATTGTGTATTGCCACGTATTTCTTTATTTAAATAAGCTTAAAATGTTTATGTTAATGCCGTGTAGAGCCCCATCCACAGCTTTTTATTATTTTGCGTGGCGGTTGGCTAAAAAGGCAAGAAGGGAAAGACGTAAATTAAAGTTCGTCAAAATAAATAAATTTAAATAAATATGTTGAGACATTCTTAAGAATTTAGATGGAGTACCTGCATAATGTACCTAAATCATGAAATCTTAGAAGAACCAAAGATCCGGTATCTAAATTAGAAAATCGATTAATAAAAGTTTAAATTCAATATATATCGATTCTATACTAGATTTTTGTCTACGTCAGACTCTAGATTCTAGAATCTAGGTACATACATACTAAATACACAACTGACAGTGACAAAATAACAGAAATATAACCTTAAATTAGAAGTTGAACTGTTGAATTACTATTTATGAATTATTATAATAAATGCAGTATTTTATATAAATGTTTACATACTTGAGTTTATACATTTTAAATTATTTTTAATAATAAAATTAATAAGAAACATATAGTTGAGGTTAGTACAGTTGGTTAAATTCATAGTTTATATTGCAACTTTATTTTTATTTATTTAGAAACGCTAAATGTATAATGTTATTACTAAGCAAAACTTATAAAATAGGATTTAAAGTATTATCATAATTTTTTGAAATATCTGCTTAAAAAGTTCAAATAAGAAAGAAATTAAAGGAAAAACAGAAAAAGAAATTAAAATTTTGTTTGTTTTTGTGGCTCTTTTTATTTAGCATAACGATATTCATTTATAATATAACAAAATGCAAATAAATTGTACCATTCAATTATCTAATACCTTAAATATAAGTGCAAAAGTTTGGATGGATGTTAGTTACTCGATCACGCTAGAATGGCTGAATGGATCTGGATGAAATTTGGCACAGAGATGGATTATAGTCTGGAATAGCACACAGGTTACTGTTTATCTTGGAAAAATATGGTACTCGTAGGATAGGTTTGTTTTTGTTGTTGTTTTTAGAGTCACAAGTTATAAATATTTTTTTTAAATATAGTAATTCATTTTTAATAGAGTAATTCATACTAATTTATTTAACTTTTTCCAGATTAAAAATGTCAAATAGTCTCAAGCTACAAATTCATTTTGGTGGTGGTGCCGAGTTATTATTTGATAAAATAAAAAAAAGAGAAGTGGAGTTGCCACCATTAAATAAATATTTTCCAGATTGTAATAGAGACGAATGGACCATAAAAGACCTTCTTATTTGGATAAAAGATAATTTATTGAAAGAAAGACCTGAATTGTTTTTGCAGGTGAACTACTTATAAGATTTTTTGTTCATTTTTTTTAATTTTATTTACCAAATTCTAAGAAAGAAGTCCCTCTGGGGGCATTCATTTGTGTGATGAGCACAAATGTTTGTACTCTATTCATGGGTGTTTATATTCATAATATGTATGTATTTAAAGTTATATATGTGTAGTGTATCATCTATCTGGTAGTTAGTCCATGAGGAAGCTACATAAATATTTTAATGAACATAGATATACATATTTTTTTACTAGGGACTCACTCTCACTTTGCTCAGGTTCGTCCCTAGGTGATTGTATAAATTGACATAACTTTTTTATTTATGAATCGATTGAAATAAAACAATATATAATCATAAATATTAAGTAAAGCTTACCACAATACATGAGTGAAAACCACACCCAAATCGGTTAAGCCATTTCTGAGATTAGCACACACACAGACAAAAATTCTAAAAATCATTGTTTTTGGTTCAATAACATTAATAAAGACCACAATAATAGTTTTTCTCAAATATCTTCCATGTACAGACTGCGATCAGTTACAATTTTATTATATGTACATTATAGCAAATATATTTTCTTTCAGGGCGACTCAGTCAGGCCGGGCATCTTAGTGCTGATAAATGATGCAGATTGGGAACTTTTTGGTGAATTAGAATATGTTATTCAGAAAAATGATTCAATTATGTTTATTTCGACACTACATGGAGGTTAAATAAAATATTTTATTTTTATGTGCTTATTTTATTTTTCCTTTTGTTTTGGAATTCAGCGGCATCCTTAGAGAGGGAGTGTTAATCTTTCTGCCTATTTGATGTTTTCGTAATCCATTTCGACTACGGCGGCCAATCTCACTGAGACTAGCCAACTGTAGGAGATATTATACACTATATTGCTGACACAAGTGCACTCTCTATTCCTGTCACTCTCATACTCCGGTGGGACGACACGAGACACGACCGGTGGTAGTTAAGGCGCAGGACCGACGCGACACTTGCTCTCCGGGGCACGGGGGTGAAACGCCACCAACTTCCCAACTCCGGGCTGTTACTAAGACTTACTATACAGAAAGACTCAATGACTAAACTTGGTCCGACCCAGGCTTCTAACCCAGGACCGTGAGGAAACCTGCATGTCTGAGAGAACCTAGCAAGTTGTCTGCAGACATGCTCAGTCCGCCCGCACTTGGCCAGCGTGGTGACTGTGGCTTGATCCCCCGAGTATTGAAGTGGGGCCCACCCCCAGCAGTGAGACGTTAAAAAGGGTTGAATACGAATCCTATGTGTAAATCCGACACGATTGTTGAGAGATCAATTTTAGTACGGAAGCTATATTTATATACTGCTTTTTTAATTACAGCAGTGTAATTTCTCAACTCAATATTGTTACTAAGAATTTATTATATAATACTTTCTTAGATTTACACGCATATTTGAATATGTATATATTTTTACGATGCGCGCGCACACCGACAGCCAAAAAGCGACATGATGAAGTTAGCTGCGTTCCTTTTACAAACAGAGAGTTGTGACATACGGGATGAAATTTTCAGTTATTTTTGTTGTTACGCCAAAGTATAACTTCATATGTGTGTACATAATCTATACTAATATTATAAAGAGGTAAAGTTTGTGACTTTGTGACGTTGTAGAGGGTAATCTCTGGATCTAGTGAACCGATTAAGATGAAAGATATTAAACAAAACAAAGATAATCGTTTGAGAAACAGTGGAGAAAAAGGTACTGAACTGTCGTCTTCTCCGGTACTGAACTGTTTTGTCTTTGCCTATTTATATATGGACTAGTTACTGGCCCTCGCTCCTCTCGGGTTCGTCCCTGAATACGTTTTATATAGATATAAATAGCTATTGCGAGTGTGGTATCTTAGGAGAAAGACGTATGTATTTTTATTCTATAGCATATTTTTCTGTTAGTTCAGTAATTTTTCCGTAAAACGCGCATACACAACAGACAAACAGATAATTTTTATTATAACTATTGTTTTGGGGTCTATGCTGTACACAATACGTTACAGTCATTGTTTTTTTTAAAATTTCATGTAGATACAGATTTCGCTAAATTATAATAAAATTCTGAGTCGAAACTTTTTTTTTTTAACGTTGGCGGCAGGTCTGCCGAAGCAGACCATTAAATATTTTTTGAATTAAATATTTTTTGGAAAATCGATTTTTTATATTATTATCGATACAGAGGCCGAATCTATAATTTTTAGAAATTTTGTCTGTCTCTCTGTCTATCTGTCTGTCGTCTGTTTGTCTGGGAACGCGTCACGAGAAAACCACTGAACAGATTTTGATGTAATTTGGTATGATGATAGGTTATCATATAGGATAGTTTTCTGCGGGAAAATATTTCATCTCTGAGAAATCTATACTAAACCTTAAACCGTAACTAGGGACGAAACCGAGCGGAGCGAGGGTGAGATTATTTGACGTACTAGCATTGTCCGCGGCTCCAAAAACCAAATTCTTAGGTTTTACATATTAGTGTACTTTTATATTGCAGTTTTTGTATTTTTTCTCAGAAATGAGACATTTTACCGCGGTAAAAAGTATCCTATATACAGGTCAACATGACCTGTATAATCAGCTATCACCATACCAAATTTTATCAAAATCCCTCCAGTGCTTTTTCTGTGATGCGTTAACAGACAGACAAAAATTCTAAAAACTATAGATTCGTACTCTGTATCGATAATAATGTTTATTTCAATAAGATTTTCCAAAAAATATTCAATGTACAGAGTCGGCTTAGTTACAATTTTATTATATGTATAGACAGATACGTATATTATGGTTTAGAATCTTTTGTCATTAACATAACCTTTGAAACAATATTGTAGTATTTCATTTGACATCATCCTCTTCTGTCGGCTTAAAAGGCTTATGTCGTCCTTTTTTATGTCATTTGAATGATACGAGTGTACACTTATTGTTGGTTTAAAGTGTACATGAAACATCTGCGTACTTATCTATACATCTATACAGATAAATAGAATTGAAGTGTCTGTGTGTAATATCAAAATAATAGATTTTTACTAAATGCATATAAAATTATATACGGTATTTATAATTTAAAAAGAAAACATTTTTTTTGTCTGTTTGCTTTTTCCGGCTAATCTTCGAAACGGCTGGACCGATTTTGACGGGACTTTCACTGGCAGATAGCTGATGTTATAAGGAGTAACTTAGTCTACTTTCATTTAAGAAAAAGAATTAGAGTTCCGCGCGAAAAAAATACATGAAATTGTGAACAAAATCCTCGTACCTACGTAAGTTGCTAGTCCTATATATACCACTATATATTGTTATAAATGCGAAAGTTTGTATGTCTGTATGTTTGTCACTGCTTCAAGCAATAAAAGGGCTGGACTGATTTGGGTGAAATTTAGTACTCAGATAGGCTACGATCTGGCTTAACACATATTATGCTATTGTTAGTTCTAAAATTAGCTAAAATGCTGTTTGTATATAATATTATGAATACAGAAGGCATATTGGGAAGTACACGAACGAAGCAAGAATAAATCACTTGTTATACATATGTTTGATCGCATGTAACTTAAGAATAGTGGGACAGATTTCAGTAAAACTTTTTTTATTTTATAGATAATCGTTTGGATTTACAACGGAGCAATAAGTTTCATTGTAATCGGTTCAGTTGTTTTTTCTTGTACAAAATAGATTAAGGGTTTTACGCGTTTTCGTACAATGCGTGGGTTGGAAACAAACAGAAATATATACAGACGTAATCACTTATAAAAGCTAGTACTAAATATGCACATATCAAATAATACATAAAATAACTAAGAACATAATTCACTGACACTTAAATAATTTAACAGCGGGATTTCTAAAATATGAATCGCCATTTTCAATTGGAAACCAAAACAAATTTGAAAAATAATATAAGGCATGTTTTGTCTCTTTCGCACGTATGGGAAAATGTTCCTTTTGCATCGTCCATCCTTGTCTACTAGGCTTCACGGGGAATATTGAACGATCTTACTACCGGGAAAGCGTATAGTGATGTTCTTTAGTCGATGAAAACGTACAAATCGATTATTTTGTATTTTAAAATATAATTTTAAGTATAAATCTGTATTGATCATACATTTAAATCGGATAAAATGTTACTTTATTGGAGTAGATTTTTACAAGTAATTTTGAATTTTCTATTGTTGTATTTAATTGTCAGTATGTAAGTATCAGAATGTATAAGGGTACATTACCAAACTCGAAAGGCAGTTCTGCTGAAAAGAGCCCAAGGGAAATTTAATATTAATTTGAATTTTATATAAATTTGCTCTTATATATAACAAATTTCTTCCACTATATTTCCCCGCTAACATTTTCTTTCACAACAATGACTTGGCTTAATGTGATCTCTTTTCAGTCCATCTTTGTATTTAGCCCTTTTTATCGTTCCACTGCTGGGCTGGGGCCCTTCAATACGAGAGGGCAGATCAGTTCACCTAAAAAAAATTTATGTGATAGGAATGAATTTTTAAGGCATTTTAATTAACGTTCTAATCATTGAATTTTAAATAAAAACTAAAAAAAACTACTTTCAGGCACTAAAATGTAAAAAATAACTAAACGGGTGTTTACATTTAGAATAGATACCTAATCAGATATTTTAGAAGTCGGTGCCAGCCGACAATATTTTAAGATATGAATATCTAATAGGTAAATATGATTGATTAGGTATGAACTCTAATAATAGTTAAAAATATTATACATCAAAATATATTAGATTTGCTTTGCATTTTTTGTATAGAAGCAATAAGCTGGTAATTTGTAAGTTTTTTTTATAACATATTCGGTTAAGGAATTTATTTAAAAAAATAATTTATTTGTTTATTTTTTAAAAACCTATTATATAAACTTTACACGGTACTACCGGGGAAGTAATTATCCTTTGAAAAATTTTTTTTTTCAAAGGATCGGTTCAGGCGTCTTCGAGTAATCGGTGAACATACATAAAAAAACAAAGATTCCGACGAATTGAGAACCTCCTCTTTTTTGGAAGTCGGTTTATAAAACAAAATACAATATTACTTAAATTTTAATCATATATACAAAACAAATGTACACATAATTATTATTGTACCAGTCATGTCCGCGTGGAATAGTGGCAAGAAGGCTAGCCGCATTCCCCCGTTAAATGGCGATGCCGATTCTTTGGAAAATGAGGCAGCTCTCCTGTCACCAGTAGAGGCGATATGGCGAGGTGTATGTTTTTGAAGAAGTGTTTAGCTCCTTGACTCCATGAGCGAAGTGAGATAGGAGGGTAAAACATAGTTCATGACCTATTCTCATACCTACCAAATATACAAAAATAACATTAAAATCGGTTGAGCCGTTTCGGAGGAGTGCGACCACAAACACCGTGGCACGAGATATTTATATATTACATAATGTTTTAAATATTATTGTTTGGCGCTATGTTTAGTTCAATGACACATTGTCTATATTATTTCTGATAGGTATATTTAGTAAGAACAGTCGCGTGATAATGCTATGGTTTTAAAACATCGATATTTCACCTCCCTCGAGGCAGCCAGGGCAGTTTCTATACGCGTGCGTACGCGGAAGGAAGTCTCTAAAACATTAAAACGAAAATCAGTGAAAATTACAAAATAAAAGGATATTTTAACGGATAAAATCTATTTTCCCATGTGTTTTTAGTTTTTGTTTCGGAATTTGGTGGATTGGACCAATTTACGGTATGTTATGTAATTTTTTTATTATATTATAATTATGTTAGCGCTTGCGATTAAAATAGGCGGAATTGCATGAAAAATTGGATTTTGTGATATATTTAACACAAATAAATTATGCATATAACCTATTAAATAAAAAAAAATGAAAATCGATTTTCAATTGACACAAATATCGCGTAAAATACACACAAAAATAGATGAGATACCTCTATTTTGAAATCGAGTAAAAAAATTGTTTTATTTATGCTCAATATCGTTATGGTTGTTATCTGTTAAAAATAATACGCCTATAAACGGTATTGTTACGTATCCGTTGGAAAAACTAACGATATATTCAGTTTATATTTGAACAAGTTTTAAGATTTTAATAAATATAAATTAAAATAACGATAATATCGTTGTAAAATAATTATTTACAAAATAATTTTATTTTCGAATTTTTAAAAGATAAAGACGATGTTATATATTTCTTATAGAGACAGTTTTGCAATTTATGTGTAGTCAAAGAAGCATATAATAAAAAAACCTAGACATATATATGTATATGTGTACGTAATAGCTTTGCTTGAAGTGATTTATTTATGTATGTGGAACCAGAATACTCATTTTTGATCTGGCACCAAAAACATACGAGTTTTGTGTAAAATTCTAAACCCTTTTTTAACCCTTTAGGGGTTGGTATTCCAAAAATCCTTTCTTAATTGAACTACTCTTTGTGAGGACTCTATCTACCAGTACCTCTATTTACCCAAATTCAAACTTTATCATTTATACTTTGTGAGATTTCGTGATTAATCTCAGAGTGATATTTCGCTTTTATATGTAGGTACATATATCTACTAGCGACTCGCTCTCGTTTCGCTTAGGTTTATAAAAACTTTTATACCTATTTTCACCCCCTTAAAGGATGATTTCTGGGATAAGAACTATCCTATGTCCTTCCCATGGTCTCAAACTATCTTCTTACCAAATTTCATCTAAATCGGTTCAGTAGATCCAGAGATTACCTCCTACAACGTCAAAAAGTCACAAACTTTACCTCTTTATAATATTATAGATTATAATATTATAGTATAGAAGATAATAAAAAATAGCAAGGTCCACGTGTTCATTGAATTCCTACGATTTTTTTTATTTATGTTAACTATAGAAAACAATGATTGACTTTAAAACCCTAAAAAAACCGAAGTATTTGATATTAATTTAAACTTGATATTTTCACGCGTTTTTGAGCAAAAGGATCTTGACAGATGGACAAACATAATTTTGATAATCTATATCTACTCGTACACATAATAAAATTCTGAGTCGAATCTGTACATTAAATATTTTCTGGGAAATCTTATTGAAATAGTTCAATATTATCGATACGACGGCCAAATCTATAGTTTTTAGAATTTTTGTCTGTCTGTCTGTCTGGAAACGTACCACGAGAAAACCACATGACATTACTTACTCGTTTTAAAGACATATATTAATTATTATTGAATAGAAGTAAAATTTGTTTCGGATGTTATAAAAAAAAAACAAAAAAAAATATTTTAACTCAAATGCTCGTGATGTAATGGTAGGTAAAAAATAATAGCTTTTAATTTTTTAAAATCCTCAATAAATAAAAAAAAACAAATAGATAAGAGTCATAGACAAAAACGAGTGAAGACACGTCAATCTATACTAATATTATAAAGAGGTAAAGTTTGTGAGTTTGTGAATTTGTGAGTTTGTGACGTTGTAGGGGGTAATTTCTGGATCAACTGAACCGGTTCAAATGAAATTTGGTAAGAAGATAGTTTGAGACCCCGGGAAGGATATAGGATTATATTTATCCCGGAAATCAGCCCTTAAGGGGGTGAAAATGGGGATGAAAGTTTGTATTGGGAAGCAAGTTATGGACGAACCAGAGCGAAGCGAGGGTGAGTCGCTAGTGTAATATATAAATATCTCGTGTATGGAGTCTGTAGTCGCACTCCTCCGAAACTGCTCGACCGATTTTAATGTGTTTTTTGTATAGGTATTTGCAGCGCTTGATTTATACTAGGGGCACTCGGGGCTAGTGTCCAGGGCGGCAAATTTTCAGGGGCGGCAAAATTCGGAGGGCGAGAAAAAAAAATGTTATCGAAAATGCTACTAGTACATTTTTCAAAACAATGAAAACGTTTATGAATCAACTTTCTGAATTTTACAAAAAAATAATAATTAAAAGAAATTTTATCAATTTAATGCCAAATTTGATAATGGGGCGGCATTTTTTTGTGTCCAGGGGCGGCGCTAAGGTTGAATTCGGTACTGGGTATTTGGTAGGTATGAGAATAGGTCGTTTTTTTATTATAAATAGGCTAAGGGCTCACTCTTGACCTTTATCTTAGTTCGATGGCATAGATGAGGTCTATGATCTAGCGAGTTTGCTCAGGAACAGCCTGTTAACACGCGCCTTCAGTAGCTTCAGGTTATACGCATTCGGAAAAACAGACGCAGGCAGGGCATTCCACTTCTTGGCTGTGCGCAAAAGTATTTTTAACACTTCTACCTCCACCTTCCATTTTTTGTCGCAATTTTAGTATTTTTGTATTAACAATATCCAAATACATAATTTAATATTATATAAATACATAGAAAACATAGAAAAATTATATAAAACAATAGAGTTAGTCTGTAGATTGAACGCGGAGAAGCCGCAGGTTCTGCTAGTTTTAATTATAATTTATTTTTTTATTTGTGAACTAATAATATTAAATAGTGTCAAGTAAAGTCACGTAAAGCATTTAGTATGTGATTAATTAAAAATTCCCATATACAAGGACTAAAGACTGTAAATGTATGAAAGCCCTTTGACGCGACAACAAAAGAAACCAAACAAAATGTACGTAAGATTTAAAAAAATATGTTATTTTCTTCGCTTTACTAAAAGCAGTGCTATTTACGTACTTATATACTCGTACATCTACAGGCTAATATAAATGCGAAATTTTATATGTCCGCATGTTTGTTACTCCTTCAAGCTAAAACGACTGGACCGATTTGTATGAAATTCAGTACACAGATAGAGACTATGAGCTGGAGTAACACATAGGCTGATGTTAGGCATCTTTCCTAGATGCCGTATGATGCGATGTAGGAACACCTTTAATTTACTAGTCTAGTTGATTTATAGAGTTACTAGCGGTTTACCCTCGCTTCGCTCGGGTGCGTCCCTAAAAGTAGCCTAAGTTACTCCTTGTAACATCAGCTATCTGCCAGTGAAAGTCCCATCAAAATCGGTCCAGCCGTTTCGGGGATTGACCGGAACAAGCCGACAGACAGTTTCTCCCGTGACTATGATGGCTGAAAACTGAAAGGGTAGCATTCGATACATAAGGAACCAACAATTTAAATAAATCCGCGAAAAGATAGTTTTATTTTAACATTTATTGTTATCAGAAATCAAATACATGACGTTTCTCACAAAATATAAATCAAACCCAGTATAAATTTGGACTTAAAAACTAACTTAAAGTTAAAATTAACTAAGCGCTTAACCTTTTGATGAATATATTTTACTTTTACCCATTTTAACTTACGTAGATTAACTAGCCGATTTAAATCTAGATTTATAAGTGTACCGTCAGCTAAACAAATTTTTGGACGAAATTTTAATAATTTTTTTTTTACTTTTTTTTGTTTTTTAAGCCCAATTTGTAGAAAGAAAGATTACTCCTTCTTTTAAATGTGTTTAAAATATATTTCTTTATATATTAAAGAGTGATAGACACTGAAATGATATGTATTATTTTATTATATAATTTGTAATATTTATGTATTTAAAGTTATAATATATTTGTAGTGTATCAACTATCTGGTATCCATAACACAAGCCTCGTAGCTTACCATGGAACTAGATAGTACTCTTATGTTAATGTCCCAACATATTTATTTATGAAAATCATATTTTTTGAGACCTATTCTAATATAGGTATATCATCCTTAGTAAAAAAAGATGGAGGTCTATAACTCGTCACAACTCGAAGATGTCGCGCAAAATACATAAAATTATAATTGAATGTATATAAAATTTTGTGTCTGTACTGTTAGCCGTTGAGGAGTTCATTCATCTTTACTCAATCCTAGATGGAGAATCAGGTCTTAATTGTCATAAAAAGTCATTTTCATCGGAACTGAACCAATATGTATAATGTCAACTCTGTAGGATAAGAGGAAGTAGTTCTAAGCTTGTGACAGCTTGTCCAGTTGACTTCCAAACAAACATACCAGCTAACGAACATTGCAAGTTAAATAGTAGCTTGTGTAAATTCAGGCAAATTGAGTATCCCTTTCTTGAAATCGGTCGAAAATAGCTAGATTTTTGATGTACTTAGAAGAAAATATATTTATTTAAATACAAAAGCCATTTTATTTTTCGTCACTTCTTCATGCCTTACTAATGAAATGCAACACGCAAGTTCACAGTATGAAAAAACATAAACTATTTCTAGTTTTAGTTCTTTCAGTAACCCAGTGATAACACGTTCGCTTGGAAATCTTATTGATGGGTTCAAACCCCGGGTCTCTCAAATCTGATATTTTCATTTGCAAATCATTTTCCACATGATTACCACTTGTCCTACAGTGAAGGAAACCATGGTGAAGAAACCTGCATGTCTGAGAGAATCTAGCACGTTTTCAAAAGACTAGTGAAGTTAGTCAACCTGAAGTTGGCCATTATGATGGACGGTAATTTGAACCCCTTGCATTTAAGGGTGGCTCACCCCCAGCAGTGGACTAAATTATTATTATTTAATAGGTTGTTCTAACAGAAGTTTAAAATAATACAGAAGTCGATGGAAAAAGCTAGTGGATGTATAGAATAAATTGTTACAAGCTGAAAAAGCTTTCCCTAGAGAATGAATTTTTCAATTGAAAAAATGTAGTTGCTAAAGTAATCTGTTGTTCTGCCAAATAATAAAATAAGTAGGGCGAACAGACACGGTTAAATATTTATATTATATATAGATTTAAACTAGTTTTTA